GATGGGGAAAAACCGCTAATAGAAATTTCATTAATTTCACTGCAATAATTTCGACCAACAAAGCATTTCAAAACCAACAAAATTTGGTGTGCCATTATATCCCTATGGATTTATTGATTTCTAATGTGTTTTGGAAAAAATAGACAAAATTATTTATTCTAACATTGCAAAAACTTTGCGAAAGTACTAGCTTATTATACAGTTTTTGAAAAAGTTTTTCAGCAGATTTTAACAGGTATGAATTATCAACTGCTGTTTTGTACTTATAGCACAAATCTTTTCACGAATTGTTGCTACAGGTAAAGAATATCAACAAATATCGGTGCTCACTTGAACGACAAAAATCGTTTTAATATACAAGAAATCACCTTAAGGATTTCTTCTTTTTTAATTTTGTCATCTATAAGTTCACTTGGTTTTTTTTCTTTTTTTTGTATATCCTGTGCGAATAAAAATCCCTTCTGTTTTGATTTTAAATTTTGAAAAAATCAAAAAATCAAATAAATGAGTCGAACTTTTTTTTGACTTTTTTCGAAATAAAATGGATTATATGTGATTTGTATACTTGAAAATGGAAAGAGTGCATTCAAACATAAAATGGACTAACCAACGATGACAAAAGCGACAATAAGTGATAAGAAAATGTAATCAACGACGACGATATCGCCAAGGCCGACAGTTACGATAAGATTGAAACCAAAATGAAAAGCATGTAGGAAAGACCACGAACGCTCCCAGTTGATGAACATGGCGGAACCCATCGAGCAGTACAAACATATGCATGACACATAAGCTCCTGGATCAAATGAAAATTTATTTAATCTTTGACGAAGAAATTGTCAATCTCTTTGCTTTTGACAAAACTGCTTGTATCACAAAGGTGAGAATTTAAGGATTTCATATTTCAGTAATATCCATGATCACTTAGGTGATCATTATGATCATAATTATATATTCGTTAGAAAATTTTCAGAACATGAGTCATAATTGAAAAATTAAGGTGATAAAGAATATACCAATTGGGAACCATAATTTCCCATCGCTTCCTTCTACGCCAAAAATATCTATGATATCGGAATGACCGCTCGTTGATTGCGATGATTTCCTTCGCATATAACGTTTTCGAAATAGGATTTGCTAAATTTGCTTATATAAAAAAAAGTTGCAAACGATGTGAGTAATACAGCAGCACCATGCAAAAATAGAATCTTTTGATTTAAGGAAATTTTGCAGAGTTCAAATACATACCTTCAATTTGTGTGACATTTTGTTCCAGTTTGAAACGAAACGAAGCAATGTTTCCGACAAAAATTTGCCTATATCTGCAGCTGTGATAAACATGAGAGGTATGCCAACTAAAGCAAATACTACTGCAAATATTTTTCCTAAATCTGTATCGACTGATACTTCACCATATCCTGAAATATTGTTACCTGAATAATTCTTTCATTATTAAAATTAACCTTTTTTTCTGTCAATATCAATTTGTAAAATCTATAAAAACTTCACAAATCTTTGGTAGTTGATATAATCAAATAAATGAAGTTTGAAAATTTTCGAAAAAGTTGTACCACATGTAGTGAGGACAGTAAGTACATATAATAAGGCAGTTGGGAAAGTCCACTTGTTGTGCATGTTGTCAATATCATCTGGTTTCTGAAGCTCTCTACGGATCGGACGTCGGTCATCCACTATTTCTGCTACTGACATCATATACTCCCTGTAGACTAATGAATTTTACTGGACACGAAGGTGACTGTAGTAATTTTCTTTTATTCTGTTAGCTCTTTAGATTCATAATCAAAATCAGAAAAACCTGAAAATTGTAGTCCATTCGGAGCGATCAATTGAATGGATCCCCAGTTGTGCATCATTTAAAATCCTCCAACTGTCAACTGTGAAATTTGTCATGATATTAGACAAATGAATTAATTTCCGAGATCGACCCATCAATTCTGTGCTTGTTTCTAATGCCATAAGAATCCACGCGCCAAGACACAAATATCCAATTAATACTGTTACTAGTATCACATGAGGAATCAAGATTTTGAAAAACTGAAAAAACTAGGCTGTTAGCCTTGTTTAAATGATTTTTAGCTTACTACCAGGATTTGTGTTACTTTCGATTGTTATAATTTTATCGGGTGAGAAAAGAACGTTGCTGACTATTACTTCCAGTTTTTATCTTCATAATAGTAATTTCACTGTACTAATACTTTTGAATCGTTTAAAAAGAATTTTCTGGTTGAAAATCTTTTTACAATTCAAGCCCTCTTATCTTACAACGCACGAGTGAAATCTTCATTCTTTGAATTACGAGTGTTTTTTTTTTCTTTTGCGAAGAATAATTCAGAAAGAACTTAATTTCTAATTCAGAGAAAAATTTTTATATGTTGTTTATAAATTTACATAAGTCTATCTTACATTATATCTTTACTTTCGAATTTATAGGTAAAGATATATAAAAGTTACCTGCATCAAATATTGCTTCATAGTTATTTAAGCTAAATAATATTTTTCAATAAAGAAATTTAAAATAATCAGCATAATTAATGATAACTTCAAATATACCTTCTGCTTTATATTAAATTTGTTGCTCTTATAGATAGTACGATCATTTTTTCGTCTTAACAAACCAATTACATTTTATCTTAATCAAATCTAATTTTCAAAAAACAAATTTTTATGACATTTTCAAATTACGGTTTTTCAGTACTGCGATAAAACCATTAAACTTGGCCAATAGAAAAATTTTCATTTACAAACATCGATATTTTTTACTCATATCAGATCCATTTACCTATTTTTACTTCCCAGTTTCTACAGAAATCTCATCGTAATCGTTTTTATTTTTCGTGTTTCCAAGGCAAAAGAGAGCATGAATATTTTTTAAGGCAAGTCGTATGCTTCATCTAATTGCTCGTATCGTCAATGCTAAGGACTTTTAAAAGCAAATGTAGCTTTGAAATTTGTCATGAATTTCGATTTCAAGCATGATCGGAAAGTTAAAACTGTATCATAGCATCATCACAGTCCGCTCGTGATCCATAAACAAAAACATCCCTAAACTATTTGGTAAAAGCCTGCTTCTTTGTCATGTTAATTACCTAAATAGATAAAAATACTAAAAAATTTTTGGAGCTATTTAGATATAGTTAAGATAAGGAGAGTAGTAATTTGTATGAGTGATTTCAGTAACATTATATTATGGACGATATGAGAAATCATCACTCCTAATATGGTCAAAAGAATTGGTTTACTATTTCTAGTTCTGATTGTAGAATGACATCTTAAGAATTTGGGCCTTTTTTTCTACCAAAAGTGTCAGTTGTTTGACATTTTTACTTGTTCAATTAAAATTGTTGCAACTGTAACAGCGTTTCTTGCTTTGCATAAAAATTCCGCGAAATTGCATTTATTCCTATGATTTTCCAACGTGGATTTAGACGAAAATTATGTGTAGAAACTAATGGAAATTTAATGATACATAACGTATCTAAACAAACATTAATTAAAATATGGGAGAGTTAAAAGTTTAGAGGTTATGCGTAACGTCCGATAATATATACATATTTAATGATACATAACGTAAGTCTAAAAAAAATATATATATAGTAGGATGGATGCTAAGTGAACTTATTTCACACATTAGAGTGCTTAATCAAAAAGGTGGAATTATTTATAAAATTCGAAATCCTAAATGTGCTTCGGTCATTTAAAGCATTAAGATTGACTAAAAAAGTAAACTGTGGTTCATTTGCAAAACAGTTGCTTTAGAAGAAAGTTTCCAATGTTTACTTTAGTAAAAATCAAAATTTTGGCAATGTCATTCTCAAAGTGCGGATTTTTCAGTTTTAATGTAAACTGTAAGTTTGAGATGATTCATTCATTACAGAGCAACTTAAATCATTTCTGTAAACACAGCTTTGAAAAACATTGAATAAAAAAGTACAAAAATGACCGACACCACTTTGCATAATATGAGAGCGTTGTGATTTCTACGACAGGATGAATATATTATTCAGAGCAGAGATAGTACTGTAGTAAAGTTTATCGAAATTAAAGCGGAAGATAATTACAACTTACTATGAAAACAATAGTTTATATTTTGTTATCTTTATAAAATGTTTATATGACCGTGCGAAGTTAAGTATCAAAATTTAGATCACTGGATGGAATCTTGTCCCAATTTTTTTTCTGTCGTCAGTTTCTTATCCTGAGCCTCAATAAAATACTAAATGTGAGGATTTAAGATCAGAGATTTCCTATCAACCAGACTTTTTCCTATCATATTAAATTTTTTCTACTGATGTTTTTTTGTCAAACGAAAAAATTTGTTTCCCATTTTTATAACATAAAACATTCGCCTATCAAGTAAAATAAGTGTAAGACTTGCGTGATAGCAAGAGGAAGAACTATTAAGAAAATAATGGAACATAAAAGAAATTTTACATCGTATTTTCTTTGTTATAACATAATCAGATTCCGTTTATATCTGTTAACTTTTTCATTAAGTAAGTTGTTAATAAAATACCTTTCTTGTACGTTTTGAACAATTTTTTGATTCCTGTGTTTCATCCTCTTTCATCGTTTCTGTGATGACTGTCGCACCATCCTCTGCTTCCAACAACGCTGACTGCGATGTAAGCGGAATCCCATCCCATCGAGTTGTGACGTGATCTGCAGTCACAATTATCAAATTTTTATATATAAAATTAAAAATTTTATTTCATTTATAACGAAACAAATCTTATCCGTACTCCTGCACACTTAAAATCTACAGTCAGCGTTTACTTAAAATTCGAACTTTTTGAATTTTAATTCTAACTCAACGATACCGATTTCTGATGAAGCGATATGTCATCGGGCAAACAGAAAAATTGATGGATATTCCTCTTTTTTGAATACATAATTGGAAATCTGAAATCCTAAAAACTCGGCAAAATTCCCATTTCTTTCATTATGTAGCACGCAAAATAACCTTGATTTTCTGTTTGATTTATTTGCTTTCCTACACCCAAAAAAAATTAAATTATACTTTAAAACATTATTTTCATCAATATTACCACAAATTTCAATCATGATAAAATTTGTTTAATTGCTTATGCTTACATCAAGTGCTCGCTCCAGTATTTCATAACTCGAAAATAAATATTGCAAATGAATGTGATTCTTACATCCATCAATAAAATATTGATTTATTCCTGTATTTATTTTCCCCAGGCAACACGTTTGAATGAGTATAAACGAGATGATATTAATACAATTACAAAAAAAGAAGCTTGAAGAAGATGGTAATAAACGCTCGTCACCCTCTGATTCTACGTATTTTATTGTTGATATTTTGATTTATGATATGAAAATTTAACATTGGAAACTTTTGTGTCATCAGATAATCTTATAAAAGAATTGATAGATTGAATCATAAATCTATATTTGATGTGCAGAACGTTGTTTAGGAAGAAAAAAAATTTAGATGAACTCAAACAAATCTACAGGGAATTAAAAGCATGATGCATCCACTTAGCTGAAGTTTTTTCACTCCTTGCATTTTTTCTGCATACTAACTAAGAAACAATCATGTCCAGTTTATCCTGTAAAGAACATTTCATCTCATCCATTTTTCAACAAATTATTTCTATTCTCCCTCCTTTTTTAAATAAAAAAGATTAAAAAATAAAGGTTCATGAAAGCAGTATGCATTAAAAAGCTTTGCTTGCACCAAAGAACAATTAGCATTACGCATTAATAAAATGCATAGGGCAGTGCAAATCTGCCCACTACGATCTTAAGCGATAAATAGTGACATTCAGGTGATGTTTTTATAAATGACACATTCTGTCTGCGTATACTATTAAATTAATTTCCTATACCCTTCAGAAATTCTAGTTGTAAAAACCATTACCATAATCTTTTATAATTTTTTTTGATTTTTTCAAAAGATCGCGTCTGAACGGTTGATTCTTCAGTAAAAATAAAAATGAATTTCACATCGTTTAAGTAAATATAAATCATAGGAGATAGAGATTTGTCCTTTGATTAGAAATTTATTGTATTTAAAATTAATTCGCTTTCTGTAACTTCCATCCACACAATGGTTGATTGTATGGATGGAAGTTACAGGAAGTAGAATAATTTTAAATACTACAGGAAATATTATTAATAAGAAATATGAAAATCAAAAGATTTTTTTCCAATTGTTTACCAGTTTATCTACTAATAATTAGTTTTCCAGTGGTGTGGATTATGTTCTACATTATGGAAAATTTGATAGAATAAAATAAGATTATTGAAGTACTACACTTTTTACTTCTATATCTAAACTTACTTGTTGAGATCAAAGCTAACTAATCGTGGACTCACGTAAGCACTCAAAATCTATATTATTGAATATCTTCAAGTTTTCATTTATATGCTTTTTTGAATAATTGAACTGAGATAATTAAGAATATATATTTTCAATATATATTCTTAATATACATTGAAATATTAAAAAAAAGCATATATGCAATGCTCACAACACTACGGATTTGACTGGCACTATCTTCTATATCCATAAACTTCCTTATCATAAGAAAAGTTTCTCACTGACTTCCAAATAAACGAAAAGAAAGGTAAGGTGATCATGATTGGTAGTAATCAGATGGTTTAAAATGAAATACGGCCTAACCCACCAATGATAATTCGTCCATCGCTTTGTATGGCCACTGTTGGCCGTCGGTAGTAGTGTTTGCTGGACTTTTTGTCTATTTGTATATCAGACGTTGGATACCATGGAGTATTTGCTAAAGACGAACTTCGAATAGCTCTGTTTTGGTGGTCAGAGTTATTCTTTTTTTGGTCCTTTTCCTGCACAGTCTTTTCTTGTTCATTTTCTGTCACGTCTGATGTGGTTGATTGTTTTGCGATCAGTTCAACTTGCCGTCCTAGTCGTGTTTCGGTTCCCTGCGGAGCGATGGATAATCGTCGTAAAACTCTTGATTGAGCGGAATAAAAGAACATTATGTGGAATTAATCTCCAGATGGGCACATTGGGGACTGTTTCAGTACTGTTAAAAAAGGCTTGCTAAAGTAAATAATCCGTACGGTGGGATTTGTGTGGCACTAGCGAAGCGCAGTAAGCATCCGAAAAGAAAGTAGCAGTTATGGAGAAGTATGCACGAGCATGGGTTCAAAATTTAACAGATGGCATTTATCTCAATGCAGTTGAGGAAGATGCATTCTCAGAGATGTGCAGTATGTGTGTGTGTGTGTGTGTGTGTGTGTNTNTGTNTNTGTGTCTGTGTGTGTGTCTGTGTGTGTGTCTGTGTCTGTCTGTGTGTGCATGTGTATATTTATATATGTATATGTATATATACCCAGAAGAGGAGAACAAGAGATGGACTAAGTTGTATTAGTCTCTGGATCTACTCAAAAATATTGCAATCATCGGAACTACAAACTTTTTGCATCAAATATCTCCCTGTTCCATTTTTGATTTACAATTTTATACCGAATGAACTCATTTTTTTTGACATTTTGACCTGATTCAATATTAGAATGATTCGAGTAATTCATCGTAAATGCGAAAGACAAACTTCCAAAAAAAGAATATTGCTGAAGTTAAGTTCCAATTTTAAATTTTGAAAAACATAAAATGAATTTATAGAATTTATAAAAAAAGGACGAAAGTACTTTGAGCTGCTATAGCAAAAAAAAAAAGATTTTAAATAGGAAAGAAAGTGGACGTTGTGATAACATGAAGACAATGAACTTGTGGAACTAGCCATAAAATAACTTGTATTTCAGTGAACTGAAAAGTTTGAAGTGTATCTGATTATTGAAAGCATTGCATTCAAAGGAAAGTACTGCACACAATACGATAAGCCTAATTTCATTTACTAACAAATCATTCGGAGCAAATTCTCATGAAACATTTGTCTCTAACCAACCAAAATTCTCTGCTACCTAAACTGACTAAAATGGATTATGTCCTTAGATATCACAAACAAACCTTTCTCTCTAATTCCCTAGGCAGAAATCCATTGGTTGCTCGTAACAAAGCGCTCACAGACTAAAACAAAGATATGAACAACTGTTAAAAAGTGTACCAGAGTTTCAGGGGAATAAAATTGATTATCCCGCATCTACAAATATAATTTAAAATAATAGTATACTTATATAAGATATTATATTCCATAACAAAAAGACAATGCCAATTAAATTTCTCCATTTTGTTATTTGGTATTCATTATTTCATAATTTCTGATGAAAGTAGTGGTATTCGAATTAATCGAGAAACATATCATAGTTTATTTTCTCATTCTTCCTCCTCATTAACATTAAATTTCGATAAATTACAGTTAAGCATATTCCACTTTCTTATCAAAATTTTTACACAAGCCGACAATTTGCAACTTTTGTAAACTCCTATTCCTATTTTCATTTTGGTTTTTAATTGTTTTGCTACGAGCAAAAAATGGATTACTATCATGGGAATAAGAGATATCCAGGGATGTAATCCGTTTTAGCCAGTTAAGATTGGAGTAAATTTTGGCAGAAAGATAAAAATGTTGTAATCATAGCATATGATTTATTCAATGTTACCATTCATCATTGAAATCTTAGTGAATATAAACTAATTAGATCTAACAAACGTTAACTCTTCGTCAGTCTTCATTCACATTCATAAACATGCTTACAAGTACGTAATATTCCACTTCAAAAACCGATATTTGGGCCACCTTAAAATATATTTGTCTGCAGGATGCTTTCAAACAGTTTTTTTCTCCATTATCTTCCATAATAACTAATTTCATATATACGACGAAATTTTCCAGGATTCTATTTTTGAACAAGTTCGAGAACCTGTTTAAAGATTCAGAGTTATATATGAAATTAGTTACAGTGGACGATATGTTGTCCCGTTGCTATTATTGTTCTCTAATTTATCAACACTCTTCACAGAGAAATAAGTCAATTTGATCTTAAGACATTACTTTGGAAAGGAAACTGTTTAGATTTTATTCATCATAATATTAATTCTTCAACTGCTTCAATGCAAAAAAAGAAAACCATGAAGATTTTTTTATCTATGCAGTCGAAGAAAGTGTCAGCGATTCCAATCATTTTCACTTACCGAAGGTCATTTCAGATCATGTTCGTACGTGGCCTCCAGTCTCAAAAGATTTTCAAAACAGTTCAGTTAGTATTTTCTACAATTGATTAGCAGCATATCAATATTTTAAATTAATTTCCGAGTGAAATAGTTTGCTCAGTCTGAAATATGATACTGAAATGATTAAGAGTTCTCTATGAACTGTACAAGCCTTTGACATAACTTTCTTACATGAAGATCAAAATTTAATGCTCTTTTTATAGAGTTATATATTTGTTCTCTAAAGGATTATACCTAATCCAAATGTAAGAAAGCAAGCCAGAAGGATTATTCCAGTAAACACTGTCCATCCATTATGATTGCACAGAAATCTAAGTAGCACAGAAAATAATGTTTTTTTGAATTGATCTTGAAAAATTTCTTCTTCTCATCTTTGTTATCAATGATCACTAACTTAAATTTCACACTCATACTGACTGTATTCCTATCATTAAATTCCCTTCAATCTGATAAAATATAGGTTCTCCGGAATTTTACGAAATAACAGTTACTTAATCAGTTAATTTTATTAGCTATTCTTTACACTCAGAATATAATCTGACTCATACGACATATATAATTCTAGCTATAACAACCTTCTTTATGTCAAATAGATGCTCAGACTAAGCCTTTTCAACCAAACGTTTAACAACTACAACGCAGATTTTCACAATTTAAATTTTCCTTCTACGATTTGAATCAGGAAAAAGGAAATGTTTATCCTACACTTACTACCCTAAAATTTTTTATAAATAAGCTTGATTGTTGTAAGTATTTCAAAGGAACTTTGTAATGATAGTAAACGATTAGGGACTCAACCTGTTTTTGTTAGGCTTTAGCAGACAGACCTCTGAAGAATTCAAGGCGACACCAGTTGTGACGAAAGATTTGATCACTCACTGTTATCATGTAGTTACGGCTGAAGTCAGCTGAAATTCTTTAATAGATCACGGATTCTATGATTTCACAGTTATTGGCGAGAGTACTATAAAGATCTCGAAGCTTTCTCCTAAAATTTCAAATTTCGGCTTTCATGTTGCATGGAAACATTTCCCCTTACTATGTCTGGGATAAAGTTCAAGCTTCATCATCATTCGATACGTCTAAAAAATAATCTTGCCAGAAGCCAAGCTGTCATAAATACGACTAACGTATTGTGTTCTCTACCTGCTCTTCTTTTTCAGTCTAATTAATAATCATAGCGTTTCATCAAAAGTGGTCCAATCAATGCCAAGTGACTTCTACCAAATCCGATCTCTTATTTATAATCATTATTATCCATTCTTTTATTTTATATCAGCGATAAAAAAGCAGTTAACACCAATGCATTCCGAGTTTTTCCAATCTGTTCTATTCGTTTTAAATCGATTCCGATTTCTTGAAAAATCTTATTTTTTCGTCTTATTTCTTTTAAGTGAAGTTTCCGCTCAATTTGGAATGTCAATCTTCGTTGCTCTTAATGATTCTCAATTCACCTTCACTGGATTTTACCATTTCCTCTAATTATCGAGCACACCTGACCATATCACTTTTCTGTTCATTATGCAACGATTGAACATAGATACTTAAAATCAGACTATCAGAGAGGAAACACGCAAATATATATAATCTTCTTCCATCATGAAGCCAAATACAGAGCCACTGTTCAAACGAAAGAAAAATTGGAAATCTGAAGAAGGAATGAGAATAAAAATCGTATTTGATGCATTTGATAAGAGATCTGAAAATACTATTGAATATTTAATGACACCAGCTGTAATGGAAATTTATTATCAAGTCCATTAAAATTATTAAATGACATTCACGCCATAATTTTTTCTTTTGATGGTTTCATTTATGGAATTCTTTATAACATTTTGAACTAAATTAAAATTCTGCTGAAAGACAGAAAACAGCGGGTTTATTGCAAATAGTATTGTTTTCATCCACTACTATTTTAAAAAGATTTAATTACAATTATTTTCTTACGGTATTTTTAAACTGAAGTATTTCACTCAAAATTTCACTATCCCACTTATTTGCCAGGAATTTGTATGCAAATTAATTAATCAAAATATTTATTCAAAACTTTACTTCAGTCGATGATAGTAAGGGTATTTTAACTCTCGTTGGTTAGGCTTTCCATATCTTTTTTGTTTAGCTTTAGTTGTTGTGCAAACACGGTTTCACGGTTTGCTTGTTCCAAAAAGGAAAAAACCTGCTCCCAAAGAATAGTGGAAGTATTTATGAGATCAAGTAAGACGCTTAGATTAGATTTGCAGAAGGTAAACTCTCACCTCTTCAAACAAAAACTAATCGCATTTAATCAGTTTATTAAAATTGAATCTATTGCCCATTACGAATTTTAGTAAAAAGTTAAAAAAAAAGATGAAAGTCACTTTTTTATCTAATATTCATATTTGAAATTATTAAAGATTCATAATGAGTAATTTTTGGAGTGACAAATAGAAAAGAAATACTCAATTCAGTTGTATATTAAAGGAATAATTTGCACTGAAGCAAATTTTCTGCGCTAAAATCGTTGTTAAAGTATAGAATTACTGGTTGAATTCTTTTCAAAGGATCGTTTTATTTTTACACGCATGAGAGAATTTTTAAAATTGATTGCTCAAATTATTCTTCTTCTCTATTTGGCTTCACTCGTTGTTATTGAATTTTATGGACAACAGATTCTTTTCAAGACAATTGTATTCATATAAAAATGAATCATATAAAAATGAAATTAAACTCTCTTTAACCACCAAAATTTTAGCACAGTTTTTTTGAGATAGGTACTATAAAGTATTGCCGTTCGTCAATGATTTTCTGCGAGTGCAAATTTCTCGATTCTCAATTAATTTTTTTACGTAAATATTCAAGGTTAAAACCATGAAAAATTAATGTTGTCCACTTCGTTGTTCATAAATGTTCTTACGAAAGAGAAAAGACTGCCCACATTTGCAATGATATTTCATAACGTTTCACTTTGTTAAAGAGACGAGTCATCTCAATGTCCGCAGCTAACATAAAGGTCATCTCATACTGTGAAAACTTAATTAACTAGATAACTTACTGAGCATAGATTGGTCAAAGGAATTATAAACTTCCAAATGCGAATGCTGCTGTTACTGTTGTTTAGCATCAGAGCTATTCCATTCAGCATCGTCTACAAGTCTCTCTTCCTTCAGCTTTAACAGATTCTGTTTATCTGCATCATTTACATCAACTCTGCCAATCATGGAGTTGCTCTGACATATAATTATGTTGAGCTCTATAAAAGACATATTTTCATCCTTATTCAAAAATCCGAAACAATCCCATTTTCTGGTCATTAATCTGATTCACGAGTTAAATGCTCTCCCAGCATTCTGAAGATCACTTCTGTTCGTGAATTCTGGCTGCGTGCTTTCATATATCTGCAGATAAGACCGTATTTCAGCAAACTGCGCAATATACACGGAAAGGAATTTCTCGCATAATAGACGTACTGCTATTCCTCATCTTTTCATTGTATTGACATAAAAGCTACCAAAATTCTTCCCTAAGAATTCTCTTCACCGTGGCAAAACTGACAAGCTTCAAGCTTCCGGTATCGCGATCAAGCATTTCTGTGCTATGTCCAATTGGTGCGAGATCCTTCAAGAAATTGAAAAAAAGCGAGAATCGCCATAAGTTTCCTTATTTCTCCTAACATTGGTTGCCATTCTCGAATCTCATACATTCACGACTCCTCTAAAGATCGGCCGTGCATTCTTCATTTACTTCTTGCAAATTATTATTCCCCTTTGATAATTTGCTACCACTACACTTTGTGTGTTATTCATCGTTATGTTGAGAAGTTTTACATAATCCAAAGATCGTTTGTCTTCATCCGACTATATTTTTAACATTTTTTCGGATAATCCATTGAGAACTCTCGTTGTTACAACAATTTTTTAATTATATTCTCGTTGTCTACAACAATTGTTCTTCCATTTTATCATTCCATTCTTGAATCATTTACTCCTAATTAACTCCCGTTTTGTGTTCCGTTGGTTGAGGCATACGTCAACGCATTGTTCGGGTTTTTCAACAAACGGCAGCGTGATTGAGGGTTAAAATGATATTACTAAAATAGTAATCAGTCAACAGCACATCGCATTTGGAGTGGTTAATTTATGTGATGGATAAATGAAAAATGAATGGCTATAGGTTCATAATATTAAATATTTTGGCTGCATATTATTTTTCATGCTTTCTTAACCAAAATTTTACAGCAATTAATCTCATTATTGCCGTATTGATCCACTGCAAAAGTTCCAAAAAGAAATAAATTGTTCTGAAATACCAATTTTGAATCTCAAGTTAGCTGAAGGCAGTCGTATGAAATTTCCTTACCGATTCTTGAACAGGCGAAGGAAAAATATTACATTTTAAGAGAAATTTACAGCAAGTTAAGATAAAATTCCTAATTATGAAAAAAAAACATAAAAATTCACACAGATTAAATTCGTAAGTTATTCAATCCTTGTATTCTTCATGAAATTCAGTTTACAAAAATGTAAACTTTCGATTTAAAGCAATTAATTTACTGCTCGGTTATTTGAATAAATTATTTCCTCCATAACTGGAAATACTGAAATTCTACTACTGGCATCATTTAGATTACAGTCTATTAAAAGCATGCAGAACGGTCAGCCGCCTCACATATTTCTATTACTGTCCCAACTAATGTCAAAGTCAATTTAAGTAAATTGTTACTGTTAATATTAAAGTTTTTAAGCAAGTTGAAGTCGTAGATTTATAGCATGTTACGATCTGTAATGTAAACAAGCGTAAACACAAAAAAATGAAGTCTTCTAAGGATGAAAAAAGAAGGGAAGAGAAAAATGAAAAAAAAGTAGGATACCTTTGACATAAGTAACATGAGATCGCTCGGAACTTCGTGATAAATTACGTGAATCATCAGAGGTGGCCTGTGTTTGCTGAATACCTGCTGTTGTTCGGATCAGACCGGCTGTTTTGAATAGAGCTAATGCGGGATTGAACTGTTCATTGGAGATGACTTGTGAATAAATCATAGTCTATGAGCACTTCAAAACGCTGAGGTTATTCATTAGTGGAAGTATTGGTAATAACTTTGTGAAGTGGGCGGTTCCTTTTAGAATCATCTGAGAAGGCATCAGAATAGTCTACTTTTTGGAATCAGCAACATGTTGGTGACAATGGCATCGCGCACACAATCAGCGCCCCTCTAAGCGCTTTTACATACACATACACATATATATATATATGTATGTATATATATACACAAACACAAACACAAACACACACACACACACACACATACATGAACGTATGCTCACACAACAATACAACTCATATATGGAAATCAGGCCTGGAAAGGGTGGCAATAAACGGAACGCCAACTATACATATCGTTCTATTTTTGCAGAATTGAACAAGTTCAAACTTGTCTGGGACCAATGTCACTTCTTTTGGAATGAAGGATTAAGGATGGCTATAAGTGTAGCAAGGCAGTTCAATCCAATGCCAACTAATCCATAAATTTGAAGAAACAAATTTTAGGAATGCTTGCCAATGTAAAAGTGGTCATAGATCGAAGACACGATCACCTTTTTTTTTTTTTTCAACTATAAATTTTGAAATTTATATTTCTTACTTGAATGATTTTTTTTATATTTCTTATTTATATTTCTTTTTATTTTTTTTAGTATTTCTTTCAACAAAATTAAAAAACTACTGAAAAAGTCTGATGCGATTTCTGAGACTAAAAAACAAAGATGTGTTTACTATCCCTATTCTAAAAAAAGTGAATGACTTAAAAAAAGGAATAAATTATGTGCAGAAAGGAGAACAAATAAACCATTAGCATTTCTTAAATATGTAGTAGTAGTAATTATGTATTTAGTTTTTTGGACTGGGATCCGTAAAATATACTAACGTAGCTCTTCTGGAAACTTTAAGCGAATTTAGTAGGTATTGAAGAAACGAAAAAAAACTACATTGTGCAAGTAGTAATGGTAAAACAGAAAGCTTCTCATTTTTCAAAGGTAGAAAGCTGACGTATTTACATTACTTAACAATTTTAATTGAAATTTTTATATTTCAAAGTTTTTCAAGTAGCGTGGAAAAGTAAGTGTAGCAGTAAGATCGGCAAAAATGTGTGGTTTTTAGTTTAAATTTCGAGAGAAAAAGAGAGAGAAAAAGAAAGAAACAAGTAGAATATTAGAAGTAACTCAAATGTGAAGCTTAAAAAGGTCATAATGGCCAATAAACACTAAATTCTGCTAAACTGGCTTAAGGCAAAGAAATGCTATGAAGATGGCATTATGGAGTGATTACGGATGATTTAATACGGGTAAAAATTATAAGTGATACTGAGGGGTATAATTTATTGGTGTTAATATTATTTATTGACCTTAATGATTTATTGATTTTAATATTAATGCAAATCTATTGATTTGTATTAATATTCACCACAGTTTGAGGAATTGGCAAGAAGACAGCTATTTAAAAATTAAATGTTAAACAAGCAGTTTAAAATAGTTCCTCAAGTGTTCATTGGAATAATATATTAAGCCATGCAGCAGTTTGTTTTTGGAAAAACTGAGAACTCTATCTTAATAAACAAAAACAACTTTTCAAAAAGCTATTTATGCCTATAGTACTTTATAGTAAAGTCTTGAATTTTCAAGACTAAAATTGAATTTTGACCAGTATTGTTCTTTTATATAAATATTCGTATCTCATTATTTTGGAAAAATTTTAAAAATTTTCATCGTGCAAAAAGTTATATTTTTTGTTGTTTGGAATTAAAACGATAAATCGAATGCATATAAAAAGTTGAACCTTTTTTTAATCAGCATTTATTTGTTTACAGACAAATCGCCTAAATCGAAAACTTTGAAAAAAAAATTATTTTTTTCAGTTTTATCGTTTACATAAAAACAGCATGATAAATTTTGGAAAAAAAGAATGGAATATTCCCAGGAAAGACATTATGGATGATTTTTTTTATTTTGCACTATTCATATTATAATTAAAAAAATTTCTCATATCATCGTTCAATCTTCCTTCTGTTTTTGACTTTTAATTGTAGCTGTCCATAAGATGCAATTTAACTATTCTCATCACAACTACTTGGTATTCTTTTCTGGTAGTAAAGTAATCCTTAAATTCTTTTAAAAGAAAAGAGTTGAGACTTTAATATGACTTTGTCTTAATATATTTGTGGCATCCATCACTCACTCTTCCTTTCATTCTTTTTATCAATAAGAATGGGAAAGGTATTTTGAGTTGGATTTAATCTAGCACTATAGTGATAAGGCTTGCATAAGTCTATAATTTTCAATTATTTTTCAGCCGTAACAGTTATTGAAATGTAAAATTTTCATATGTTGCAAAAAAAAAAAACTACAAATCAGAATTGAAATATATGTCTATAAAATTTATCAAACGATTCATTCTTTTGTCCTATAAAGTGCAATACCATAAATTTTATTGTTTTCTATTAAAGATAGTTTCTAATGACAGAGAACTTAATGTAAACTTAAATATTTAATTTAGTGTATTTAAACTGAATACGTAATTAGCCACACCATACTTGTTAATTTGATCTTCGAAAAACTCAAAGTAAAAGCATTTTCATCTATAACAGGAAACTTTTGATCTTATTTCTGTGAAATTACTTCTTAAATAATATGACGTATGTCTGATAATATTGGCATAGAGTCATCAAAAGAAAAAATTTGAATAGCTTTTTTTAAGGAATATGATATATACTTGCTGCTATCAGAGTAAAATAAACTACTTGTTTGAGATTGATTCATTGGAGATAGAAGTCATGCTATGACTTCAAAGAAATAAAAATCTTCATTTTTAAGAGAGATTTTATAATATTTAAAATAAAATTTGAAGAGTTGACAGTGCCACACAGAAATTTTAATTGATAGCTTAATATTTCTTTAATTAATTTGTCATCAGATTCCTATCATTTAAATAGGAAAGAGAAAAAAAATCAAAAAACAATTTGAAACGCTTCTAATTATGTTTTTTCAGACATTTTTATTGATCAAAAAAGAATGTAGTAGCAAATAAACGAGAGACACTAATCAAAAAATATAATTCTTTTTTAGAAAAATGTTTGAATAGTTGGAATAAATTTTTAAAATTTCATTTCCTGTTAAAGAAAGAACAGATCGATGAAACGTGGAGTTTCTTGCTCTCGAGCGGCGGAGAAATATAAATAAACAGTGAATTAGAAATGATCTTCTCAGCCTCCTTATCAGATATTGTGAAAAAATGTATTTGTCCATCAAATTCAAAAATTCAAAAAGAAGCAATTCCGAGATTTAGTCTTAGATGCCAATATAAAATCACGGTCGTTTGATTGACAGTTCATAGAAACAAAATGAAATTAATTTGAGCTTACTTTTAACAGTGTAGTGTGAGAGAATGATAATGTTCCAAGAATTTATGCTACTATTTTCTTAATTTTTGAAGCTTTGCAGAAACATTTACATTGCAGAAAAAAATAAATTTATTCCTTATATTTTGTATACTGAGACTCTTTATTTTTTGCATAAATAAAATTCAGAGCAATAGACTTTCAAGAATCTCAAATGTAACGACGTGAATTACAGTGAGAATCTATTAGAGTATTAAGTATTCATTCATTGTAACGTATTTTAATTAAAATAAAATATTTGCAAATTTGAGGTCATTAATAAAGAAATTCATATCACAAATAGCGATGATTAATTCATGCGGGAGTATTATAGATAAACATATAATTTAGTAATTTGATTGTAAATATATCATTTGACATTCCATTAAAAAAATTGCTGGGATTTTTTAAGCAGAATTTGGAAATATCTCCTGCAGAAAATTCTTTCATAAGATGTAAAATAGCCATGGTGATATTATTCGAAAAAATTGTTGAAGAATTTGATCGTTTTAAAGTGGAAATCCTTTCTATAAGGACAACTAAAAATTTCAATAACAAAGTGATAAAATATTAATTTTAAACTTGAAAGATTGGATTCTTTATAAAATGAAGAATAAGATGATGGAATATTTAGTATAGCTGAAGTCAAACAGCTTGACAAAGAATTCATCTTCTTATGAAGGAAATTTATTTCTTTTTTATAAAAGAAAAAAAACAGAGCAAATAAACAGTTTAAGAAAATTTTCCAAAAAGAGGTAAATTATTTAGAAAATAATTAGCAAAAATTTAGTGCAAATACAAAATTATTCTTAAAAATTCACTTCATATGATTTATTTTGCTTTTTTAGTTATATGTATTCTTCAAATTTTCAATCTCTAACAGCTTTACCTATAAAAAAACGAAAAATGGCATATTCTGGTTTGATTTATATCATTTCTTCCCTGCTAGAATTTTTGATTTATTCAAAAAAATAATGCGATGATCCTACCAATTTTTTCAAGTATAAGTATGAATACAAATTTCCTAAAATGTAAAATACTTTATAATTTCTTGATCTCATTTATCGAGCAATTCCAAGGCTTACAACTTTTGATCTGCAAATGTCCCATCATCGTCACTTTTAGTTTCTTTTTCTTTTAGAAGATCGAATTATTTTTTGAGAAATTAGCTCCATTATTTCTGTGAAAATTTCTATAATTAATTGTTTTCAAATTCCAGAATCAGATTGAAACTGTGAGCTGTTTACAATGAAGTTATATTATATTTAAAAACGAAAAATATGTCATTTAAATAGATAAAATTTTTAATGGAGAAGAATTAATGAAATTAAGCGAAAAAAACATTAGTTCAACACTTTGTTTGACTTATAAAAGAAAGGAAAGGCTAAAATTTTCAATTTAACTAAACATAACTGAATCAATTCTTTGGTTGTCTAAAATTATAGCGGTAGGAATTTAAACAATTAAGATAATAAACAGTTCTCGTATACTCATAAATAATTACCAAGACGTTCTTATGAAAATAATTTGCGTCAGTCAAACATAGTGCGCTGAAATTTTTAGCTTTTAGCGTAATATATTTGATCGATGTAAATTAACTGTGTAACGCTACTCTTTCATGAAATCTGCTATTTGATTAAAATTTATCAAGAAGAATTTGAAATTATCATGAAAATATATAATTATGAACGCTTTGTCATTTTGTAAGTTGTAATTTCAAAGAAAGTTTTTTCGATACTTCAAATTTTCTTAATACGTTATTTCAATTTGCTAAAGTTTACAATTATTTAACCATTTATTTCAATGAAGTTTACAAATATTTAATCATTTATTTCAGTCCATATCTAATTTGGCTGTTAATGAAAATTTTGTAAATAATGTTTTTTGTAACAGTTTGATAGTTTAAGTTTTGGAAATATTTTCGATAAGCAGTTTTCATGAAAATATTTGAAAAACACATTTCTAATTATTTGCTATTTAAAGTTTTTGATAAAAGGAATCACAAGCAGGCGGGAAAGTTTCAGATAAAAAATATCAATGAAGACTTCTTGAACGAACGACAACCAGATAACGATAAATCGATTAATCACTAACAGTACTAAATTTTTTTTCAACTTTGAGTGTAAATGGAATATTACATAACCATTAAAATATGCACTTCAGCGCTACAGCTCAACAGCTATCTGCTTCATATCTTTAGCAGTTGTACAGGTAAACAATTTTAGAAAATGCAAGAAGTAGGATTTAAGACCTTGTAACTCCCTGTTTATCTATTATTTTTTGTTCTTGTCGTAATTTAGGAGTACTAGGATCACTTACTATATAAATTCTGTAGTTATGACTGTAAGAAATGATGGAATGATAATAGAAATCGAAATTTTGATAATTTATAGCAAAATCAAGAAAAAGTTTGAAAGAGCAAGTAATAAATTGCAAAATCTAATAACTACATTCTTAAAATAAATAAACAACACAGTTTGACATTGAACGTATCGTATCCTTACTTTTATGATCTTTTGTGTGTCCTTACTTTTATGAAGTCATTCACTGCTTAGAAATGATTATCACAGATAGAATCACAAGCGCAAATAACACTTGCGACCGACTCATAAATTGCTTTCTTGTAACGTTTCAGATGACAACATTTGAGATGATAAGCTATTAACCGTATCTTGTAAATGTCATTTTCTACTTGATCTAAATCCTCTATTTTTGTGTGCATATGTTGCATTTGCATATTTGCCTGTATTTGCTTTCAGGAGATGTATATTGTTACGTTGACAAGTATATCATTACATAATAATATTGTTAGGGATGAAAGAATTACACTGAATCTCCTACAATAGTTCTGTTTACTCGATCTCTGATTGGGATTTTCCTGATCAGATGATATCTTTAATCAATAATTGATATTATAGTGAACTACTGACCCGCTGAAACAGTGCTGACGATACGTACAGCGCTGTGTTTTCGTTTTGTAGGACGGCGAAGCATACGAGATAGTCGCCCCTCATCCTGATCAACGTTCAGCGTAGGCGGAACAAATACGGACATCCTTCGTAGGAAATGATTTGTTTACCTGAGTACAACAGACATTTCATACCAATGAAATTATTAGCAGTACTAACCAATCATTTAAAATATTCTTTTTTATAAGAGATGACAACAATATTCAAGAAATAGCTATATAAGATAGAAATGACATTCTTACAGTACTGAAATAACTTGAAGTGAGAAGTTGAAATGCTTGAATACCTGGTGGATAGTGAAGATATGATGAAAAAATGGACTGCAATAGGATGAATATGGGAAGTGTATGAGGAAAGGAGTGATCGGCTGATGGGTTGCAATGCAATTGTGTATATATGTGATGTCCTCCCCTCATATGCTGTGATAATTCTGGAATTTCTGCATAATATAAACATCCATATTGAAGCAATTCTCCACTTCATGTGTAGCAGCCATCTTTGTAATCAGATGAATTGTTAATATGTCCTGTGTTTTCTAATTTCAAGCTCATTAGGATTTAACAATGCTTCTAAATTCGACATTTTCAGGGGTAAATATTTAGTAGAAAGCAAAAATTGTTAGTTAAGATTAATACGATATTTATGTCTTCTAAATATTTCATGTTTTCCACTATTGATGAAGTTGTTTATAAATGATTATTAAATAAGAGATTTAATTATTTATTATAAGAAATATCAATAACTATTCATTCGTTCAATCTCAATTCGATCATTCAGTATGTGTAACTCTGTTTATGCAGCTACTGCAAGCTACACTCATCCATGCATTTTACATTTTTTTACTAAAGCTTACCAAATTTCATTCGATCCACTCAATGATTTCACTGCCTATCATTTGAGAACAATAACTTGGTATAAGTATAACAATAATTTCACTGTGGAAATTGTCAGAGAATACAGCATTTTTACCGACTTGTTCTTTTTTAGTTGCACCAGGCATGATCTCATCAATAATATTGAAAGGCTTAGGAGGAAAAAAGTTGGATGCACGCAAAGAAGAATACTCAAACTTAATAGAGCTTAATAGATATTTCTCAATTCACGTGCAATAGCTCCTAGACAACCAATACACTGACTTCTACAATATGCAATGCTGCGCGAAATCACTAATTTTAACAGCGTTTTTCTCGAAGTATTCAATTTTTCCTTCAAATTAGCGAGTTTATTGCACAAGAAAAATATTAGAAAAATTTCTTTCCTTTCACAGAAACAATGAGCATAAGTAGACTAATGATCAAAAAACAAACCTGTGTCAGTAAGAAGTATTAACTCGAGAAAGAAAGTGAAAGGATGAGTAGAGACGACCGTCTTGGATGTTTCTTGATATGTTCATAATAATTTTAAAAGGACTAATTGTCGTCCTGAGTCATTCTTTTTTATGATAATCAGCTTGCATAACCAATAGGTTGGAATAGATTGGGCAATTATTTTAAGTGAGCCAATTAACTGACAAGGAAAAGACTAGAAAAAATGTCAATTAGACGACTATGGAAAGATGATAAAGGAAGGATTCGAAATGGCTTAAAACATGAATTTTTTTTGGAACTTTTGAATTGTCAAAGTTTTTGAAACTATTAGACACTCAAATATTTCAAAAATATGAAAAACGGTTCCGTGTATTTTTGGAAAATAGAATGTTGTAAGATGCAATATTTTAAAATATAAAAGACTGTATTTCTATAATGCTTCCCACTCTCATCTTGTCAGAATCAATGCAAACAAAGAAGTATAATGATTTAATATAGTTGTCCAAAGCGAACGTAGCAAGTAGTAAAGATATATTAAGCTTTTGTCACTTGACATATGCTAATCAAAAAGTACACAATTCTTGAAACCGTAATTGCCACTTGCAGGATAACTAACTCATGATAATACGAGTCCAAAACTAATCGTATTAGTGATTGATGAAGCCCAGTTTTTTTTTAATTGCTTCATTTTTATATGATTCATATTTAAGAAATCCATCATAAAGTTCTGATATAAATTTGATTTAACTTACTAATGCTGCTAACGATGCTAATGTATATTTATTTCGCCATCTATGTGAGTCTCCGATTTCTTGATGTGATTAATAAACACTTTTGCCAATTCATTGTCCAAAAGAGATTTGAATGTGATCGTCAAAGATTCTGTTTAATTATCTATCAATGGCTGATTTTAAACAAACCAATGCTTTAGGCTTATAAGACTGGTTTCGTAGTTCATTACTATATTAAGTTTTTACAAAATGTATTGCTATTTGCTAATTAATGATGTAAACCAACAATAAAACTTCAGATAGTTATGCCTTTTTCACATTAAATGCTTTTAAAAAAGTTACAGAAAGTTTCAGAAAGTTTGTTGCTTATTATTGATCTGTGTAGAAAATGATTCCAAAATGAATTATTGATGATATCTCTAATGCCGTTATATAAAAGATTATATACATATGCATTATTTATGATTTAAAATCATTGGAGTGAAATAATTGAAGCATTTTTAACTTCCAAAGTTTATTCGACTAAATGGGCTTATAACAAAAGAGACGCAATTGGAAGATAAATTTAGAATTTCGAGAGTCCAACGAAGACTGCATTTCCTCATCCTCTTCACTTCGAGTACTAACATATTCAACTATTGAAGACATCTCGTTTCCTATACTTTCAACTTTGGTTTAGCTCCACAAATTACCATTTTTAAAGTTTTACTAAATAAAATACATTTGGGATAACAAATGTAAATAAGAAAGTGGAAATATGCCGGTTTTGACAGTGTTCTTTAGATCTAATCGAAGGTCAACTTCCGCATGATATTTTCCTAGAGATCGTGATCCAGGAAAACCAAAAAATAAAATATATAAAAATATATACTTTTACATAGAAAGAGGAGATATATGGAAATGTAAACTATGGAAAAGAAGGCCTTCTTCAATTCGTTGCAGTAATGAGACAAGGTGAATTTCTCTATTGATAAAAAGCTCGCATTCAAATAGCACATGTCTATTTGAATTACATCATAACACTGTCATTTCGTTCATCGCAATGAAATTCATCGATGCTGCAACGTTGAAATAAATTAATGTTTGGAATGGAATAACAAAATAAATTATAAATAATATATACATGGAGAAACGATTGATCTTTTATTGATCTTTTAATGAAATGTTTTGTAGTTTCTTTCAATTTTAGATTCATTTAGCAATTCTTCACATTTCTTCTAAATGCTTTTCTAACAGTGAAACAGGCAACTGTGACTTGATAATAATGAAATCCAATTCCAGTTTTGTTTTTAAGCATCTTTTTAATTTAAGGTCATAATGTGACATCAACATTTTTTAATGTCACATTAGAACCTTAAATTATATTTCGGAATACAGTACTGATTTTTCGAAGTCAGTACTTCTATGTCGCTGTTTATTATTTCCGTAGTAGAGTAACTGCTTTTGCAGAGTAACAGCAGAGTAACTGCTTTTAGGACGAGGATTCATTCGCTGCTATAAATGTTCCAATGCCACTTCCTCCCTCCCACCTCTTTTTTAAAGTGATCACAGAATGATAACACTTCACATCAATCAGTCAACAAGTCAAAAATACACAAAAGATGGAATGGTAGGAGGACATAGGTTGTTCAATGTTCATTGTATAACCAGCACCTGAAATTCGTTAAAACTTAATCTCGTACAGACAAATAACCAAATTGGTATTTATCTCCTGTAACAAGAATGCCGTCAGCGGTATTTTTCTGATCATTGAAAAAGCCGTAAGATCGGCTAAGAAGCCAAGAAAAGCTATACATCTTATAGAAGCAACAAATGCATTTCGCTTCATGAACATGACCAAAGTCGCCATTATATGTGCAGAATTCTTACTATTATTCGTATGCAAATGGTTCCAATATTATAAATTCGAATTCATCAACAGTGAAAAACTATGTTCATAATAATTTAATATCCCATATGTTCTGATCTGCTCTCTCATTAGTATTATCTCCTTTGACTGAAAGTAGAATAAAGATCAATCTTCCAGATTTTATACTGTGATGCGCAAGTAAATAAGATTAACTAAAACCTTATGCTAGCATTAATGCTAGAGATTATATAAAATGCTAATTTCTAAATGGCACCAATACTAAATAAAATAAAAAGTTTTCAAGAACAGATTGAATTATGTGATATAAGTTACAGTGTTAAAAAGAAAATTTATATTACAGAACCCACTCGACGCATCGATAAAGGATTCATGATAAAAAAGTTAGATAAATCATCCGTGGCCGGGTTTCCAAGAACAGATTATTTGAATTATGTGATATAAGTTATAGTGTTAAAAAGAACATCACCCTGGGTAAGAGAAGATGTATTTGCAAATATATAATTTTACTATAACTTTTGATGGTTACTATTTTATGGGTTATAACCGTATTTTTTGAAGTCGATTAAAAAAAATTCATAGTTCAAAAAAAAATTCAAACATAACAGAAGCAAAGGAAGTGGAGCGCATGTTGAAAACTGAGAAGAAAATGGAAAAACGCATTAATATATATAGCTGGACATGAATGACGGAAAAAAACAGCATATTTAGTCCCAACGGAATAATCATAAGCAAAGCACAGCGAACTCAGTCCTCGTTATATCTTCTTTGTTGTTCTTATCATACCGTTCACCTACCTCTTCCTACATTAAATAATCCATGTGATAAATCTCGGACAATTCAGATTTCCTACTAAAGTAATATCTTTGATATATACCACCGTCATTTGTTTTGCACTGCAAAATTCCGTCATTTTTCGAGATATACCTTTTTATTGTTAATTTTTGGTCAAAATTATTTGCAAATTTCTAGTAAGTGCACTACACATATATTTACAGAATTCTCAGCATGATATATTACATTTACCTGTAGAAATACTCTCGTACTGTTCAAGAACGTCTACTAACAAACGAAATTCAGAGGTTTTCAATTGAGAATTCAGACGCGTCCGATACTGGATGTTCATCACTAACTTATTTTAGTCTTTCTCAGACATATGAGGTACTACCATATTGAAATATCTCGAAAACTGACAATACAACACTGACCAGTTGATCTCGAACACACACAAAAATCTGGAATTATGTCATCTAACAATGACACGCGCAAGTGAAACTATTCAAGTACACGTTCAAAAAGTTAAAGCATAAATGATATAATAAAATGAAGAAAACCTGCAAAAATATGGAAAACAAAGAGCAAAAACTGAGCACTCAATTCATAGCATAATAGTATGACTGACAGCACTGGTATTCAAAAGCCAAAACCAAAAAAAAACTCGCAAATAAGTGAAGAGCATAACCGAACTTGAAACTATATGAAGAGCTGCAAGGAAAATGAATCGGTCATGTAAACAATATAAATTATATTGAGATTTAATTTACATAAACATACGTGTCACATCAAAAATACCATTAAAAACATCATAAATAATACTAAAAATCATTGCAAAATTATCTTCGAAAAGTTCAGCTATACAACGACTTTATTAACTCGCTTGCTATAGTGTACCAAAAATTGAATATGAATTCTTATTTATTTTTTCCTTAGCTTAAGCTTTATTAAAAATATAGCTTTAGTGTAATATGTTTATTTGGTTAAAAAAAAATGATTTAACTGAAAAATCCAATATATGAAAAATATTTTCATACTTGATAAATCTAAAAAAAAATGTCGGAAAGATGGAAAAAATGAAACCCGCGCAATACATAAAAAATAAAGACGAGGAAGATTCGCGAGATAATAATGAATACGGAGGAAGGCTGTACAACAATAGACTGAATAACAACTACAATACTCATTAAACAACATTCATTGTCTAGTTTCGATTATCAAATTTCTTTATTCCATCATTCAAATGCGCGCCATTGATTTGCTGTGAATAAAAAACGGTTGAGCCATGAAAATTATCTACTTGAAACCCTGCCACTGTGCTCTGTTGCGACAATATATCTAATGATTCTTGTACATACATCAAAAATGTTGATAATCCTACAAATATTCAATACAGATTTAAAGCATTACTTTGATGAAGCGTATCACGACAATGAACTTGGAAAATACCAACAAAGCTATGCCAACTAATTTTCAATGGTATGCGCAATAAAAAAGTGCTTTTGTAGACCAAAAGTAGATCGATTTCGAATCCTCAACGTCGTCACTGCTTTTTCAGAAATTCCCTCCTTGATTTACATTTAACTAAAACACCAAAACCCGCTGTTTTTCCAAAGTTTAATCTACTACAGAAGCTAAAAAGAACTGTAAATAAATCATTCTCCTATTGTAATTCAAGCATCTGTTAATTCCTAAATAGAAAAATTTGTTTTATGAATCAAAAATATTTTTAGTAAAATCAAATGTAAGTTCATAAAAAATAACCTGCCAAAATTGCCGGTGTGCCAAAAGTATGAGTTATGAGGGAAAACTTTTCTAAGGAGTTCTGCACATTATCTTCTTTATCCAAGACATCACTGTCGTGTCGTAACATATCCATAAAGCCAGAAAGCAAATGCCTGAATTAAAATACTAATAACAAAAATAAAAAATTTATATAGTTCTGCCTTTTGATAAAAATTGAAGAATTAAAAATACAAACTTTGCCGCTCTAAATTTTTCCTTTTCTTTTTCCAGTTCCATAACAGACATTGTATCACATTTTTTCAGCCTACACTGAGCAATTGATTTTGCAGGAAATTCTGCTGAACATGCATTTGCGAAATCCTTTGCAAGATGTTGTGCTTCTCCTGCAATTGGCTGAAGTTTACT